GCAAAACACTTCCATAGCAGTCATGTTGTGAAAAACTAAGTATATTTCCCTTCATCTTATCCTACCCCCATTTATTCTATTCTCTCTTTTGACCCTGTCCCTCCTTAGAAGTGTTTGCTTCTGATTGCCCCCTCCCCCAATCTGCCCTCCCCTCTATCATCCTCTTGCTCTCTTGTCTCCTACCCCTCCCTATTTTCTGTAAGGTAAGATAGATTTCCATACCCAATTGAGTGTGTATGTTATTCTCTCCTTAAGCCAAATCCAACAAGAATAAGATTCACTCATTCCCTCTCACCTTCCCCTGTTTCCTTTCCATTGTAAAAGCCTTTTCTTGTCTGTTTTACGTGAGATAATTTACCCCATTCTGCCTCTCCCTCTCTCCTCCCAGTATAATCCTCTCTCACCCCTTAATTTTACTCTCCAGATATCACTCCTTCATCTTCAACTCACCCTGTGCCCTCTATCCATCTATCTATCTATCTATCTATCTATCTATCTATCTATCTATCTATCTATCTATCTATGTCTATCTGTCTATCTATCTATCTATATGTATATATGCATATATAAATATATACATACATATAATTTTTCCCTCTAACTATTCTAATAATGACAAAGAACTCATGAGTTACAAATATCATCTTTCCATGCAGAATGTAAACAGTTCAACCTTAATAAGTCTCTTATGATTTCTCTTTCCTGTTTACTTCATGTTTCTCTTGAGTCTTGTATCTGAAAGTCAAATTTTCTATTCAGCTCTGGTCTTTTCATCAAGAATGCTTGAAAGTCCTCTATTTCACTGATTATCCATTTTTCCCCCTGAAGGATTATGCTCAGTTTTGCTGGGTAGGTGATTCTTGGCTGTAATCCTACCTCCTTTGCCCTCTGGAATATTATATTCCATGCCCTCCTGTCCCTTAATGTAGAAGCTGTTAAATCTTGTGTTATCCTGATTGTTTCCACCATACTTGAATTGTTTCTTTCTGGCTGCTTGCAATATTTTCTCCTTGACCTGGAAACTCTCGAATTTGGCTACAATATTCCTAGGAGTTTTCCTTTGGGGATCTCTTTCAGGAGGTGATTGGTGGATTCTTTCAATTTCTATTTTGCCCTCTGGTTCTAAAATATCAGGGCAGTTTTCCTTGATAATTTCTTGAAAGATGATGTCTAGGCTATTTTTTTGATCATGGCTTTCAGATAGTCCAATAATTTTAAAATTCTCTCTCCTGGATCTATTTTCCAGGTCAGTTGTTTTTCCTGTGAGATATTTCACATTGTTTTCTATTTTTTCATTTTTTTGAATTTTTTTTTACAATGTCTTGATTTCTCATCAAGTCAATAGCTTCCAATTGCTCCATTCTAATTTTTAAGGAAGTATTTTCTTCAGTAAGCTTTTGGACTTCCTTTTCCATTTGGCCAATTCTGCTTTTTAAGGCATTTTCTCCTCATTGGCTTTTTGGACCTCTTTTGCCATTTGAATTAGGCTACTTTTTAAGGTGTTATTTTCTTTTGCCATTCGAATTAGGCTACTTTTTAAGGTGTTATTTTCTTCAGTATTTTTTTGGGTCTCCTTTAGCAAGCTATTGACTTGTTTTTCATGATTTTATTGCATCACTTTCATTTCTCTTCCCAATTTTTCCTTTACATCTCTTACTTGCTTTTCAAAATCCTTTTTGAGCTCCTCCATGGCCTGAGACCAATTCCTATTTTTCTTGAAAGCTTTGGATGTAGGAGCTTTGAATTTGTTGTCTTCTTCTGGTTGTACTGATGAGGTCTAGAGGTTAGGAGTCCTGCAATCCCAAAATCACAACAAATGGGTGCTGTCCAAAAGAATTCAACCCAAGCCTTCTTTCAGCCAAAAACAAGGTTCATTCAAGATTCACCATATTAGCTAGACTCTTAAGGTATCTGAGCATCTGCGGGCTATTGGCTATATTGTAGAAATCTGAGCAGTCCCTAGATTTTAGGAATCCCAGCAGTGGCTAGATTTTAGGAATCTGAACATCTTAAAAGAGATGAGATGGACCTTATATACAGAAAGACTATGGGAGGGATCTAGGAGTGGCCAAGTAGTCTATGAGGTAATAGAACGCCAGGGGTGGCCCAGGGAGAATGAAGCCTAGATAGGACTAAGGATGGGAAAAGGCCATGGGACATAGGGAGGTCTAGGCTAGGTTAAGGGTAACAGATTGGGCATAGCTATAATGAAAGGCCAATTGATGGGATTACAGCCTCAGGGGAAAACTGGAGATTTGGCCATGTGGGAAAGTCCAGGGTTTTTCCTTTTTGGGGTCTAGATCCCAACCCCATCCGTTTTGATCTTCTTTGTCATCAAAGAAAGATTCTATAGTCTGAGGGTTTTTTTCCCCACTGTTTGCTCATGCTCCCTGCCAATTACTTGACTTTTTAACTCTTTGTTAAGGTAGGGCTCTGCATGGAAGCACATTGGAATGTGGAGGGTGTACTGTCCCGAGCTTCAGGGGTTTTGTGCAGCTGTTTTCAGATACACTTCTAGGGATCTGTAAATTTTCAGTTCTTCCAAGATGGGTATGATCAAAGGAGAAGTGTTCACTCCTTTCCTGGCTTGTGCTCTAGTCTATGAGTAACCACAAGCATTCTTTTCTGCCTTAGAACTGTGAGTAGGATTCACTCTGTACTACTGCCACAAGCTCCTCCACGCCAGCTCTCCTTTTTGCCTCGGGACCACCACCCAGGACTGCACCCCCCATCCAAGCATGGGCAAAGCAAGAGAATACTGCCTTGGCACCTGCAATCTCCCTCTGATCCCCCACCATCTGTGGTCTAAGAGCTCCAGAAGCAGCCTCCTCTGCAGCAAGGCTGTGCCAAGGCTGGGGCTAGACTGCGCTCCTCTCTCACCCAGGTCCAACTGACCTTCTAAGTTCTTTGGCTTTTGTGGGTTGAGACGTCTGGAAACCACCACAGTTGCTAATGATTCAATCCCCCAAGGCTTGCTCCAGGTTGGCTGGGGCCCCACCTTTGCCAGCACAGCCCACACTGAACTATGCTCCTCTCCCAGCCCATCACAACATCAACCATCCAGGTTGTCTTGGGCTGCAAATTTGTTTCACTATGTCTTTTTGTGGGTTCTGCTGCTCTAGAATTTGTTTAGAGACATTTTTTACAGGTATTTGGAAGGATTTCGGGGAGAGCTCAAGCAAGTCACTGCTTTTACTCCTGCCATCTTGGCTCCATCTGCTAGACCTCATGTTTTTCACAGACACCTGTCAGAATCATTCTTCAAATTACACCTCCTCAACACCCTTCCCTCCCTCTATCCTTTTTACATGGTTAAACAAAAGTTTTGCATGGAATTTAAACTATAAAGGTCTATTGCCAAAGGAAAGAATTGACCTGGATTAATATTTGCAAAAGCATAATTTAAGGCACAAAGCTGACCATCAACAAATACATGTTGGTTAATTGTAATGATATCTACAACCTCTGCTTTAAAAATAACCAAAGGAGTCCTAAACACTTGACTTTATTTTATTACTGTTTCATACTTAATAGTTTCATGTACAGTGAAGAATAATTCAATAAGAATAGTTATTAGCATTGAAGAAAAAAACTCATCAGTCTGTTCCCCATCTATCTAGGCTGTGGTGCTTGTGCAAACTCTATTAGGCCACATGAAGTATTTTTGATTTGAGAATCTCAAAGAACCTGCTTTTTAACTCTTTAATTTTTCAGTATTAATAATTAGGAAAATGACCAGAGGCCTTGTGATGGAAAATGCTGTCCACATCCAAAGAAAGAACTATGGAAGTTGAATCGCTATCACTTATTTTTACCTTCTGTTGAGTTTTGTTTCATCTTTCTGATGGTTCCTCCTATTGGTTTTAATTTTTACTTACAACTTCACTAATGTGAAAATATGTTTAATAGGAATGTAAATGTAAAGCCTACATCAGATTGTGTGCCATCTTGAGGAGGATACGGGGGAGGGAGAGAAAAATTTTCAACTCAAATGAATACGGAAGTGATTGTTGATAAATCAAAATAAATTTGTAAAAAAAATTTAAAAATTAGGAAAATGAGAAAAGTAAGGCTTTATACTGCATAGAGATAGATAACAAAGAGAAATGGAATCTAAGATTCCTATCTCACTCCAAATCATTAAACCACACTTTCACACAGAGGAAGTGTGGTGGAGTGGATCCCTGCATGCAACCATAATTCCCATCTTTCTTCTTTAAAAGATTTCCTTTTAAGGCAAAGATCTGTTTGATTCAGCAAATCCCATTGATAAGCTATCTTGAAATCATTTCATTAAATCATTAAAAATTAGCCATGGAAATTACATGAAAGAAGATAGATTACCTTCTGTTTTGCTGCTATACTCTAAGGATCTCTGAGCCTTTCTATCTGACTTGAAGCTGAAACCTCCTACACATGTTGTCTCTCCCTATTAACAGATTTTGAACTCCTATAGAGTTATGGACAATCTTGCTTTTCCACTTGTTATCTCCAGCGTTTAGCATTGTACTTTGCACGTCGTCGTAAGCACTTAAATGTTGGGGTAGGGTGTGGGGTGAAATGTTGGAAGTTTGGGGTATCAGAATGCATCCAATATAAAATTGATAAAGGAAAACCCTAGGGGTAGGGGCGATATATGCCAAAGGAGGAGAAAAAGGGGGGGAGAGAAAGGTATTTTGCAAACTGGCAGGATTACAGTGAGTCTGGGCTGCAGGGAAATACCTGGGGGAAAAGGAGGGGACATGCAGGAAGGACTTTCCAACGACTTAAGCATTCATCAAAATGTTCCCTGCAAATGACCCCAATGGTTCATCACTGGGAGTTTCTCTGAAGAACCCTCACACGGGCTTCAGGCTTCTCCCCTCCCCCCCTCCCGCCCCCCCACACTCCTCTCAGGCAGGACCAGACTAGTTCTCTCTTTTTGCTCTGACTGGCTTGGAAATTCCCTACGCTTAACTCCGCCCTGAGAAATCCCCTGCCTGAGCATATAGGTCGGCGGCGCCACGAGCTCTCTTCTTCAGTAGTTTGACTGTTCCTTCCGCTGTAGCAAGAAGAGCAAGCCAGAAGAGCCGCCCCCTTCCTCCGCCCCCCTCGGCTCCCTCCCTGCGCTCGTGGGCTGTGTTTGGAGCCCCGTAAAGAGACGAACCTAGTGGGTTTTGAACAGCGCCATGTTTCACGCCGTGATGCAGCCGCAGGAGGAGAACCCCCAGGAGCAGGGAATGGAGAATCCCCGGGACGGACTCAAAAAGGAGAGGCTTTTGGATGATCGCCATGATAGCGGCCTGGACTCCATGAAGGACGAGGATTATGAGCTGATGGTGAAGGAGCTGAAGGAGATCCGGATCCAGCCCCAGGAGGAGCAACCCGGGCCGCCCCAAGAGCCTTGGAAACAGCAGGTCACCGAGGACGGAGACACGTAAGTGCTGCCGAATATACCCGGGCTGTTAGCTACAGGGATGTAGATGGAGATGGGGCGGGGGAACAAAAGCTGGAGTTGGATGCTACTGCAGAGCTGCAGAATGGGCAAGTAGCTGCAGGGAATGCCGGAAAGCGCCTGGCTAGCATTTGCGTTGCCCGAAAACGGAGCGTAGGAATCACATCTTATGCCGTCTTCCCCATTCAGCAAGCAAATGTAACTTTCATTGCCTTGCCTCGCCCCCCCTTTAAAAAAAAAATCCTTTGCCCTTCGGGACCAGAGCTCGGCGGAGCCTTTGGGCGTGGGACATAAATTCCCAGGTTGCATAAGGTGACCTGGGGGAGGGGTAGAAGTGCGCTGGGACTTTCTGCGGGACTTGGCCTCGCGCCCGGGGCGCCGCGGGCCGCTGCTGGGAGGGGGAAGTACGGGGCGTTCCAGTTGCTGGGGAAGGAGGGGCGGGGCCGGCCGGCGCCAGCCAGGGAGGGGTGGGGGAGGGCCCGGAAAGTCCCTGGGGTAGTGCCAGGAACACTCAGCTCATAATAACCTCGCGGAAAACACCGGCCACGGCCTTCAGAAACCCCAACTTTGCGCAACCCTCCTTCCTCCTTCCTCCTTCCCCCTGCATCTTCTCACCGCCCTGCTGAGCATCATTCACGATTGTGGGTTTTTTTTTTCTTTTGTTGCCCCATGCTACTTCTTCAGATTTCTCCACTTGGCCATTATTCACGAAGAGAAGACCTTGACTTTGGAAGTCATCCGACAAGTGGCAGGGGACTTGGCTTTTCTCAATGCTCAGAACAATCTGCAACAGGTGTGTCCCCTTCACAGCCCACTTTTTTGTCCCTACTTGGCCCCATTTGACAGACTTTGAATCAACAAGTGTGATGGTTATAAACCAGGATGGCATAATTTCTCATTTAAAGTTACTCAGTTCATCATTTGCCTCTTTGGGGACAGAATTTACATGGGGAAAGGACCATAAAAGTAGGTCTAGTACAACTCTCATTTTGTAGATGAGGAAATTGAGAAGTTCAGTGAGATTAAGTGACTTAAAATCACTTTACCTAACCAAAAAGTTTTACCCAGGTAGCAAAGTATGTGGAAAACACAAGATTTGAACCCAGGTACCCTTGATTCCAAAAAAATGATACCATTTCACCCTACAGTATTAAAGTATGAGAAATTTCTCCATCGATTACGTTTATTCCTGGGCTTTGGATTATAGCTATTATGTTAATAAGGCAGGATTGGCACTTCCCAAGTCTAGAGAAATGATCATTTTTAAGGGAATCCCAGAATGTTTTTGTGTGACCTGGGCTTACCTGTTTTCTTTCTTTGGTTTGTAGACTCCTCTTCACTTGGCAGTGATCACCAAACAGCCAGAGATTGCTGAGACACTCCTGAAAGCTGGCTGTGACCCAGAACTCAGGGACTTTCAAGGGAATACACCTCTGCACCTCGCTTGTGAGCAGGGCTGCCTGGCTGGTGTAGGAGTACTTACCCAATATTGCCAAACCCAGGACCTCCTCTCAATGCTACAATCCACAAACTATAATGGTATGACTCCAGCTATTCTCCTACTCTTTGGAGGGCAGTAAGGATCTTAAGAAAGGCCCTGGACACATTAGAATTGGCCTACTTAATACAGAATCTGAGCCTTAAAGTTGGGAAAGAACTTGCTAGTGTCTAAAAATTTGAGACTTTTTAAAATGTCATTTGTGGTTCCCTTATCAGTTTAACTTAGTTCAGGGAACTTTCCTATTGAGGGGGAAAGACTAGGAGTCTGGGTCCTAAAAATTTGGAACACACGGCTTAACTCATTTAAGAAAATGTGATGAAAAGTTCCTTTTTCTGGGAGTAGCAGGAAATATTAGGGTTGACATGAATGATTACATATGTTTTCCTTTGCTTTTCTTGCAGGTCACGGGTGCCTCCATTTGGCTTCCATCCATGGCTACTTAGCAATAGTAGAACATTTGGTGTCCTTGGGAGCTGATGTCAATGCTCAGGTAATTAAAACGCTTTTTAAATGGTTATGTGGCAAAGATGCAGAAGAGTATTGTTTTTGTAGTTCTTATGGCCAACCCTCCTCCCCTTTCTCTAAATGTAATTTATTTCATATATAGATGTTAAGTATCCTAATTTACTTGCGTCACAGGAGCCCTGTAATGGCCGAACTGCCCTTCATCTTGCTGTAGACCTGCAGAATCCTGAACTTGTATCACTCCTTCTGCGGTGTGGGGCTGATGTGAACAAAGTTACCTACCAGGGTTACTCTCCATATCAACTCACTTGGGGCAGAGAGAACACTACTATTCAGAAGCAGTTGGGGCAGCTGACCATGGAAAACCTGCAAATGCTTCCAGAGAGTGAAGATGAAGAGAGCAACGACACAGAGTCAGAATTCACGGAGGATGAAGTAAGTACTATTGCAATACTTAGTGACTCCTTACAACACCCCGTAAAAAAATTAAATTAGAGCTAGGAGAAGTGTGGTACTGGGTTCAAATCCTGGCTCTGCTATGTGTTTGATCTTTGTCAAGTCAAGGGTCTTTCTGGGCCTTCATGTTTCTTGTGCTGCAGAATGAGGAGATTGAACCTCTGAGAGCTCTTCTGGCTGTGGATCTTATTTCTTCCTTATTCCCTTGGGGCATAGTAGCTCTAGGCCTTGGGAGTCAAACAGAAGAACATAATTTAGATTTATCAACTCTGCATTTCTGTTTCATATTTTTATGCAACTTCACCCTATCAAAATGTCACAAAATTAATGTTGTATCAAATCTTTGCCTTAAACAAATATCTTCTACCTGTAAAAATGCCAAAAGAGTCACCCATGTCCAAAGGTAATTTTATAACTATATCTTGGCTTAATCCACCCCTTTTAAGGGAAAATATCTTTACCTTTTTTAAAAAATTGTATAATGGAGAAAGAAGCCCAAGAATTACTGAACTTTTTTCCTTTGAAGCTGTAGACATTAACTTGCATTTTTTTCTCTCCTTTCAGTTGCTTTATGATGACTGTGTGATTGGAGGCCAACGCTTAGCACTATGAACTGAATGTAACTGAAAGAGCATGAAGCTCTACTCTGTATAATTTGTACAAAAAGATATTTTATTTTTCTAAAAACATTTTAAAACACAAAAAAAAATACACACATGTAGGTTGGTCTGAAACACATTGTAATAGAAGGGTGTCTCACAGCCTGCCCTTGTGAATTACTATCATGGAGTAAGGAAGAAGAATGAAAGTTCAAAGAAAATTTCCTAAGAGGCATGTGGGGGTTTTGGAGAGTTCTTCCAGTATTTGGTTTGCCCAAAAGAATTGCATCTTCATTATCAAGTATTTTGCTGACTTGCTAACCTGGATTCTAGTGACTGACTATAACTGCTTTCTCTGGTTGTTAATAGTCAGATGAACTGAAAGGAAAATTTTGAACTCTGTTAAAAAATTGGCTTCTGATCCTACCACCTTGTCAGTGATGATTGCACCCTCTTGTAAATAGTGTATATTATGTTTATTTTGTTGGTAATGTTTTGGTACTTTTAAGATGTATATTTATTAAACAGATTTCTATGTGCAGGATCATCCTAGTTGTTGGTGTTTTCTCTATTCTCTTTATAGATGATAGAGGATTCACATACTATTCAGATTAATCATAGAGTCAAGGGAGAATACTTTATAGAGTCAAGGGAGGGTGGATGTATTCCAGAGTAGAGAAGAGTAACAGTTAATTACAAACATCAGGATACCCTAATCCCATTTGTTGCTTCTGAGAAGCACTGCACACACCAGCAATCTCCTTTTGGCAAATGATCGAGATAAAGAGGTAGCAGGCATGTAGGGGTCCATGTGAGAATGACGAGCAATCATCTACGTTTTTCCTAGTTAGAGGAAACTTTATGGGATTTGATGCTTTTTTTTTTTGTCATTGCTATCACTTTGCAAAAATCACTACCACTCACCTACTTCAGTATAATAGAAAATACACTCTTTTGTATCTGAGGACCTGGCTTTGAACCCCAGCTCTGCTACTTAGTACTTATGTGACTTGGGGCCAGTCACTTAAATTCTGAGCCTCAAATTACTCATCTGCAAAATGAGGAGGTTGATCTAGAGGATTTCTAAGGTCTAAATCTACAATAAATTTTTAGATCTAAATCTATAGGACTGTGTAACAAAGAAGTACAATTAAGCAAAATAAACTCAATGCTTTAAGCATATCTTGATAGCCTCATTCCACACGTGGTGTTTGTTACTTCTATATCTTTAGGTTTTATCATTACCAAGGAAGAAACTTTAAGAATGATGTAACTTCAAAAGTAATTGCAGGAAATTTTAATTTGGTAAGTTATACAAAAAAATCCAAGTACAAACCTTAATAGAGAAAATTAAAAGGGAAAGGTTTTTGTATCTACAATGGTGGTACATAGTAGATAGCTTAGTTCCTGTTGATTGGATGTAGGCAGAGAATTCAGTCTGCAAGAAATTGCGTGAATAACTTCTGAAAGTACCTGTTTCTGTAAAATGGAGATAATATTGACACCAGATTACTGGGATAGTCATATAGATTATGATACACGTATATATACTGTGTGTGTATGTATGTATGTATGTATGTATATATGTCCAAGTAGTGTAGTGAATAGACAACTTGTGACCTTAGAGTTAGGAAGACCTAAGCTCAAGGCCTGCCTCTTACTCAGATGAACTTTGTGATCCTGGGAAAATCACAGAGCTTCACAATACCTCTAGCCAGCTTTACCGAGTTGCAGAGAAGGTTGAAAAAGCCCTCACTGGGAGCTCCAGGATTAAGTCATTTTAAAAAAAGAAAAAGAATGGATAGGCAGTGATAATAGAAACGTAGAATTGGATTCAGAATTGGAAATGGTTTTTACATCAAGTTTCAGCCAGTTTATTGCATGTAGGATAGAGGTCGGTAAACACTGATTTCCTGGGTTGTCCATAGACAGGTTTTCAAAGCTAATGTTGCATATCAGTTTTGGGACTACCTACACTGATGTATTTTGCTTGTGAAAAGGAAGAGGGAACACACTTTGTGAGACTACTTTTAAAACCTTTCATGAAGTGCTGCCTCCAAATGGGAAGAAATTTTGGCAAAGAGGAGTACATAAAATACTAAAAGATTACAAGGGAACTTAGAAATTTGTTAGTAACCATAACTTAACACAGTGCCTTGTACATAGTAAGCAGTTAATAAATGCCTATTGAATTGAATCCATTGTAATCCCTGTATTTTACAGATGAGAAATATGTATGTGTGGTAGGGGTGGGGGAGGAAGGGATTGGTTGGACCTATGAATTTTTTTTTTAATTTTTATTCTAGTGTTAACGAACTCCAACTAAAATGAACACTTCCATATACCTAGTAAAACAAAACATGAAACTGTCAATCTATTACATAGAGATTACTTTTGTTTATGACTATGTAATAAATTCAACATGTAACTTTTAAGCATCTAAAAACTATCCTGCTTGTCTGTGATTCCTTCTGCCCTTCCTTCTATGGATTTTAGAAAAATACCTGTTAACTTTTATTTGTGTATGTAATCCATTCCTTTTCCCTCTTTCTCTCATAGCTCTCTTCCACCAGATTGGACTTTTTTTTTTTAACAAATACGCATTGTCAAGTAAATCCCACACTAGGTATCTCCAAAAATGTACTGCTCATTTTACAATTTGAATGCATCAAATTTGATAAGTAGCATGCTTCATTTTTGATCAAAATCCATGAGTCTTTCAAAATTTTGTCTTTATACTTTTGTTACTATATAAATTACTCTAAAGGGGCAGCTAGGTGGTACAGTGGAAAGAGCACCAGCCCTGAAGTCACGAGGACCTGAGTTCAAATACAGCCTCAGACCAAATACTTGACACTTCCTGGCTGTGTGACCCTGGGCAAGTCACTTAACCCCAATTGCCTAAAAATAAAAAAAAATAAATAAATTACTTTTAACACACACAGTTTAATAATGTTTTGAGCTTAGTTACAAATTGCTTTCCAGAATGGCTGGAACTGTTCAGAGTTCCACCAACAGTGTATTAATGTATCTGTTTTCATACAATCCCTGCATCATTTGTAATTTTCCATTTTTGTCATCTTATGCCATTCTGTTGTATGTGAGGTATAACCTGTGTCATTTTAATTTATATTTCTCTGTTAGTGATTTACAGCATTTTTTCATAGGAAATTTCTTCCTTTGAAAAGTGCTTGTTGGGGTAGCTAGGTGGTGCAGTGGATAGAGCTCTGGCCTTGAAGTCAGGAGGACATGAGTTCAAATCATCTCAGACACATGACACTAGCTGTGTGACCCTGGGCAAGTCACTTAATCCCAATTGCCTCACCAAAAAAAAAAGTGCTTGTTCATAGCCTTTGGCCATTTAGCTATTGGTTTGTGTTATAAATTATCAGTTCATTATATATCTGGAATATGAGAACTCATCAGATGAATTTTCAGCAAAGATGATTTCCAAGTTAACCTTGTCTTTTAATTGTAGGACTAATGATTTTATCATTATATAAGTGTGTCATATGATTAATTTAACCCCTATTTTTTCCCCTAATAAGTATTATTCAGTTTAGTGTGATTCCATAGGGGTAATGATTATTTCTGTTATATCTGTCTACTAATATACATTTATTAATACATATTTGTATATCTTACATGTCTTGTATTTACTAGATAGGTAACTAGATAGGGTTAGACTGATTCTTTCTTATTTTAAGCCCCCAAACTTTAAACTATGGCATCTAAGTTCACTTGCTTAACCACAGGAAGCTAACTAGAGGACTTCCACCCTTTTTCCCTGATGAGTAAGTGACTAAGCCCAGCTTGGCAGAGATGACCTAATGATATGGAAAAATCCCCCAGCTATTTTTGTTAACTCTCCGCCCTTTATCATCCCTCTCTATTGCCCAACATGGGGAAATGGCCATGAGGAGATAGCAGGTGACCCTTGCTTTGCCCACCCTGTGACCATAAGCACTGGTTTCTAGCAGCCCTACTGGAGGGCCAAGGTGTAGGTCTATCAACCAATGAGATCCTTTATTTAAGCATCATCTATATCATCTCAATATCAAACACTATAAAACCAAGGCTCTGGAGAAAGGGCATCTCAGATTGTGAGGAAGATCTGAGGTCCCATTCATTAAAGGGGAGGGGGGAGATCAGGTCCCTTTAATAAATGGTTATTGGCTTGAGGCTGTGCTCAGTTGTTTTCATTACAGATTGGACATTTTGGGCCCACAGTATGGGAAACCTTTACTACTGATACAGATCAGCAACTTGTCTGTAACTTAAAAGAGTTGCCTTGGGATAACTGCCCTGGAATAAAGGTTAAATGAGTTTGCCTATGCTTTGTCAGGGGAACTGAACCCAAATGTTTTTAACTCCAAGGTCAGACCTCTGTGCACAATGTGTATGTTTCTTAACTTCTTCCATCTCATATCAGCCTCATATCATATCATCCCTCACTGTAAAATGGAAATAACAATAATGTCAACTTCAAAGGGTTGGTGTGAGGATCAAATGAGATCATATATGTAAAGCACTTTGCAAATTTTAAAGCGCTATATAAATATTAGCCATTGGTCAATAATAGTAACCAATTATATGTGTCAAACACTTTGGTAAGTGCTCAGGATACAAAGAAAGGCTAAAACACTATCTCTGCTTTCAAGGAGCTCACATTCCAAAGAGGGTGGAAGATTTTCCAATAACTATGTACATGTAAGATATGTGTAATGTAAATTAAAGGTAATCTCAAAAGGAAGAGGCTTGGGGAGGAAGGTGGAGAGGAGGCAAGAAAGGCCTGCAGAAGGTGAGATTTGAACTGTCTTGAAGGAAGTCAGGCAAAGTAGGAAGCAGAGCTGAAGAAATAAAGAGCACAAGCATGAGAGACAGCCAGTATGAAAACAGTGTTCTGTGTAAGGAGCAGCAGTGGACTAATGTAGTTGGTTCATAGAATGCATGGAGGAAAGTAAAGTATAAGAGATCTGGAAAGGTAGGAAGAGACCAGATTATGAAAGACTTTCAAAGCCAGAGGATTTTTCATTTGATCCTGGGGGTAATAAAAAACCCTGGAGTTTAACCAGGATGGAAATGGCACAATCAGACCTGCTCTTCAGGAAAATCACTTTGGCAGCTGAATGGAAGATGCATTGGAGTGGAGATAAAGGCAGGAAAAGCAACCAGAAAGATAATTGCAATGTTCTAGGCAAGAGTTTTGTAGTAGGATGGGTTCAAATTGCTTTCCAGAATGGCTAGACCAACAATGCACTAATACACTTGATTTCCTTTAGTTCCTCCAATATTTGTCATTTTCCTTTTTTGTCATCTTTATCAGACATGATAGGTGTGAGCTGAAGCCTCAAAGTTGTTTTAATTTGCATTTATCTAATTATTTGTGATTTAGAGCATTTTTTCATATATTTTTGACAGTTTGGGTTTCTTCTTTAGAAACTGCTTTGAACAGGCATTCTCAAAACAAACAAACCAACCAACCAAAAAAAAAAAAAAACCGGCAAGCACACACAAAAAAATGCTCCAAATCTCCAATAAGAAAAATGCAAATTAAAACAAGGCAAGGCTCCTTCTCACTCCCACTGGATTGGCAAAAATGACTATAAATAAAAATAACAATTATTGGAAGGCAGGAACACCAATATATTTGGTGGATCTGTGAATTGGTCCAGCCATTCTGGAAAGTAATTTGGAATCATGTGCCAAAAATCACTGAAGTGTGCTTATAATTTTTTACCTAGTAATACCACTATGAGCAGGTAAAAGATGAAATGACAGAGGAAACAAAAGTTTGAGCCTCTGAGGAGATTGATTTATTAAGCAATGTATGCCAGTTGTCTTTGTTTAGTTGTTTCAGTTGTGTCAGATTCTCCGTGACCCCATTTTTTAGTCTTTTTGGCAAGGATAGTGGAGTGGTTTGCCATTTACTTCTCCAGTTCATTTTATAAAGGGAGGAAACTGAGGCAAGCAGGGCTAAGCAACTTGCCACTTGACAGGTAATAAGTGTCTCAGGCTGGATTTGAACTCAGAAAGAGTCTTCCTGGTTCCAAGCTCAGTGCTCCATCCACCAAAGCACCCAGCTGCCCAAATCAGGACCCAGACCGCCTCAACTTTGACATTGGACCCTGAATACAGGGGGGAAGACAGATTCTTACGCATTAAAAACAATCAAACAAGACCAATTAGTTAAAAGAAAGTAATTAATAGAGTACAAACCAGGATACAAAATTAGGTAATCTGATATTTAATCGGAAGAAAGATTAGGGACTTTCCAAGTTCGAAGGGGAGAGTGAACAGGTGCAATTACTTGAAATGAGTCCTACTCCCCTCAGGTGTCTACTTTCAGTCAAGGAACATGGAAACAATGACTGACTGACCAGTACAGGGCCAGTTTTCAGATAAGACATATGAGTTGCTTGAGATGTAAAACTGTGAGAAAGCTCTGAATCAATCTTCGACTCATACTGGGTTTCTGATCCTCCTTCCTAGCCTTTCAGGGCTAGGTTCAAACAATGCAATAAAGTTTTCTCACAATTCCCATAATAGAGTAAAGTTTTCTTACAAGGCAGAATTTGGACTAGACCCATAATTGTATAGAAAAGGAACTGAGCAAGATCTAGAATTGAGTCACAAGATGGAGTCAGTGTGGTTCACTCAATTCCCACACTTCCCTCAGATCAAAGAAAAAGGGATGATGTTTTTCTGATCTATTTATCCAGTACTAACTTCCAGTCTCACACCTCCAACTGCCCTTTGGACATCTTGAACTGGATGTCCCATAGACCCATAGCATCTCAAATATGACATGTCCAAAACTGAACTCATCTTTTCCCCAAAACCTTTCCTTTTTCCTAACTTCCCTGTTACAGTAGAGGGCACCACAATCCTCTCAGTTAACCTAGGCTCAAAATCTAGATATCATCCTTGACTTCTCACTCTCTTACACTTCATATCCAATCATTTGTCAAGTCTTAACAATTCGGACTTCATAACCTCTCTCATATATGTCCCCTTTATCTTTTTTTGACACTGCTACCACCCTGGTGCAGGACCTCATCACTTCATCTCTGGACTACTTCAGTGGCCTTCTAGTTGGTCTCCCTGCCTCAAGCCTCTTTGCATTCCAGTCCATCT